ACCTCTCCTGGCTGGGCCTCACCTGGCTGGGCCTCACCTGGCTGGACCTCTCCTGTCTGGGCCTCACCTGGCTGGACCTCTCCTGGCTGGACCTCACCTGGCTGGACCTCACCTGTGGACCTCTCCTGGCTGGACCTCTCCTGGCTGGACCTTACCTGTGGACCTCTCCTGGCTGGGCCTCACCAGGCTGGACCTCTCCTGGCTGGACCTCTCCTGTGGACCTCTCCTGGCTGGACCTCTCCTGGCTGGGCCTCACCTGGCTGGACCTCTCCTGTCTGGGCCTCACCTGGCTGGACCTCTCCTGGCTGGACCTCACCTGTGGACCTCTCCTGGCTGGGCCTCTCTTGGCTGAGCCTCACCTGGCTGGACCGCAGGCGCTTGCTCTCCAGCCCTGTCTTCTCTTGCATTAGGGCCTCCTTCTTGGCCAGGATGGCTTCCCGCTTGCGGAGCTCCTCCCCTAGCTCCTCCAGCGCCCGCCGCTGCTGCAGCACCTTCTCCATCTCCTGGTCCAGCCACTTCTTCTGCTCCTCGATCTTCTAAGGAAAAGCAGGGAAGGAGGGAGGAAGGGAGCTCAGGGCCCACCTCTGGCTGTATCAGCCACCACTCGAGGTTCACTGGGGAGAAAGGTACACCCACGAGCCAGCCCCCAGGGGAACCCAGGTACGGATGCAGCCCGACCCCACCTGCTGCTGCTCCAGGCTGACCACAGAGCCGTTGCTGCCACTGCGCCTCTTCCTCTGGAAGGCTGCAATCTCCTCCGTCTTAATCTTCAGGATCTTCTGCTGCTGCTCATGCTTCAGCTCCAGCTCCTGGGTGAAGAGCTCAGTGGGCAGGGCTGTTTATGGTCCCAGCATCTTACCAAAGCCTGCCACTGATCCCAAAGCCCACAGGAGTGCCTGCCCTCTCCCGAGAAGGCCCTGGACGCGTCCCCCAGACCCATCCCACACAACTCTCCCTGGGGACCCTCAAACAGATGCAAACACTTAGAAATAAGCCCCGCAAGATGACAGTCACCTCGTATACTTCACTCAGGTCTCACCCTGGCGTTGATTTTCCTGTAACACTCCATATTTTCAGATGATACAACAAATTGAGGCCAAGTGACCTGCTTTCTAACGTCACATGGCTGTGAGTGGCAAACCCTGCCTGGGCTCCCATGGCTGGGCTCCCGGCCTGAACAGAGGGTGCCTGTCCTGCCGTGAGCCTGACCTTGACGCGGTGCTGCCGCTTGCTCATCTCCGCCTCCAGGCGCCGCTTCTGCTCTGTCTCCTCACGAAGCCGCCTCTGCAGCTGCCCCTGCTGCTGCCGCATGAGCTGCACATTCCGCTCCAGCTCTTGCAGTCGCTTCTCACTCTGGGCCGACAGTGACACCAGCCGCTCCGTGGCCTGCTTCTTTTCCTTCAGCACCTGGAACCCACACAGTCTTCACTGGGCCAGGCATGGGGCTACCACGAGCCTGGCATAGTGCCAGGCACTCCACAGGGCAGACAGGACCAAAGGACTCACAAACGACTAGAGCGACAGATAGAGGGCAAACAGGCAGGTGGGTGAGAAACCAATAATAATAGTAATAAAGGCCGGCACGCTGGCTCACGCCTGTCATCCCAGCACTTTGGGAGGCTGAGGCAGGCAGATCATTTGAGGTTAGGAGTTTGAGACCAACATGGCCAACACAGTGAAACCCTGTCTCTACTAAAAATATAAAAATTAGCTGGAGTGGTGGTGGGCACCTGTAATCCCAGCTACTCAGCAGGCTGAGGCAGGAGAATCACTTGAACCCAGAAGGGTTTCGGTGAGCCAAGATCGTGCCACTACACTCCAGCCTGGGCAACAAAGTGAGACTCTGTCTCAAATAATAACAGAATACTAATAACGGTAAATACGATGACATGTACCACACACCAGGTAGCATACTAAGGGCTCTGTATGTGTTAAATAATCCTAACGAGCCCACAAAAAGTGTAATTATCATTATCCCTATTGTACAGCTTACAAAACTGAGGCAGAGAGGTTAGGAAACCTGACCAAGGACACACAGCTAGTAAGTGGTAGAACTAGGAGTCAAACCTGAGCAGTCAGGCTCCAGAGCCCATGCTCTCACCCACTCCATGATATTGTCTCTTGGACATCTGAACTGAGAAAATAAGCAATGAGTGAAGGGTAGACAGATGGAAGGGTGGGAGGACAGACGGCTCGGTGGGCAAGATCATATGAAGGTGAAAAATAGGATAGGCCAGGTGTGGTGGCTCACACCTGTAATTCCAGCACTTTGGGAGGCTGAGGTGGGTGGATCACCAGAGGTCAGGAGTTCAAGAACAGCCTGGCCAACATGGTGAAACCCCATCGCTACTAAAATACAAAAATTAGCCGGGCGTGGTGGGGCATGCCTGTAATCCCAACTATTTGGGAGGCTGACACAGGAGAATCACTTGAACCCTGGCAGTGGAGGTTGCAGTGAGCCAAGACGGTGCCACTGCACTCCAGCCTGGGTGACACAGCGAGACTCTGTCTCAAAAAGAAAAAAAAATGCCAAACCGATGCATGGGTTTGATGGACACATGGACACCAGGCAGAGAAGGGAGGATGAGATAGAGGGTAAGCAAATGGAGGGCTGGAAGGCGGTGGGAGAAAGAGGACTGCACGCTGACGGGTAGGTTTCTTTCCACACCCACTCCTCCCCGTCTCACTGGTCTCCCAGGTGGTCTTCAGGCAGGACCTGCCTCCCTGGGGCCTCTGCTGTGTGCAAAGCCAGGCAGACCTCTGCCTCTATACAATACGTACCAGCCTCACCCTGTTGCTAGGGCTGGAGCATAAGATTCCACAGTGAACTTGAGCCTCAGAGGCCACAGGTCCTGGTCCCAAGGACAGCAGCCTAGGAGCCAGAGTCACCCCAGCACCCTACCAGAGGCCCTGACACTGACCTGCACCTGGCTCTGGGCCGCAGCGACCCTCCTGCGGAACTCCTGGAGCCGAGACCGCTCGCCGGCATCCTGGGGCTCCTTGCCCTCCAGCTCCCGCAGCTGCCTCTGGCCTTCACTCAGCTCAGCCCGCACCTGCTCTGCCTCCTGCTCCAGCTCCCGGATACGCTGGCTGTGCTGGCGGTTCAGGGCCTGAGCTGCCTTTCCTGGAAGAAAGTGGGGCCATCAGCACGGGCAGCCCTACTCCACCAGGAGAGCCAGCTGTTGGTCCCCCAGGAAGGTTTCCCAGCCCCTGGACACCTGCGTGGGTTTCACCAAGTACCCACCTCTGTACCACCAGTACCACAGCTTATTATTTTTCTTCAACTCACTGTTTATTTTGAGATGGAGTTTTGCTTTTTGCTCAGGCTTGAGTGCAACAGCGCAATCTCAGCCCACTGCAACATCCACCTCCCAGGTTCAAGTGATTCTCAAGCCTCAGCCTCCCAAGTAGCTGTAATTACAGGCACGTGCCACCACACCCGGCTAATTTTGTATTTTTAGTAGAGACTGGGTTTCACCATGTTGGCTGGACTGGTCTCAAACTCCTGACCTCAGGTGATCCACCCGCCTTGGCCTCCCAAAGTGCTGGGATTACAGGCTTGAGCCACCACCCCCGTCCTCAACTCACTTTTTAAATGACCCTCATCCACTGCAGTGGCCCAAGGAAAGTACAAATTAATTATTTTTATTTTTACCCAATGCATTCTATAATCTGAAATCTGTATATAATTAAGCCTCTAGAACTAACTTTCATTTGCAGGAAATCTGGAGGACAAAAGAATGAGTTAAATGACACTACAAAAAAGCAGACAAACCCTAAACATGTGTGGTTTGGGATCTTCCACAGGATGAATGAGAGAAGGGAGGCGTGAGACCTCAGAAACAAACACCGTCGGCCCTCTGTATCCGTGGGTTCCACATCCAGGGGTTCAACCAACCACGGCAGAAATCATACTTTTCTAAATGAATGGCTGCATCTCTATTGAACAGGTACAGATTTTTCTTCTCATCATTCCCTAAACAGTATCGTATAACAACTATTTACACAGCTTTTACACTGTAGTAAATATTGTTAAGAAATCTAGAGCTGATTTAAAGTGATTGAAAGGAAGATGTGGGTCTATTTACTACGCCTTTTTCGAGCATCCACAGATTGGGGCATTCACAGGGTCCTGGAACCAATCCCACACGGATACCAAGTGACGACGGTATGATGTGTGTGTGGATTCAAGCAATCCAGCTACAGACAGACACTGCTGATAATGGAGACAATGTGCTTCTGCTCTGGGCATAAGAGAACGTTAGTTCCCTTAGGTGTGTTGACAGTATTATGGTTAGGTAAAAAAAAATGTCCACATGTTTAGAGCAGCACATTGGGAGGTATAGGCAAGAAAAGACAGGAAGTCTGGGGTGTCCTTCCAAATATTCAGCAAAGAAAAGAGGGAGAGGGAAACAAATGTGGAAAGATCTTGGTAACTACTAAGTCTGGAGGATGGGACCCATGGTACTTGCCTCTCTTATGTCTCGTTGAAAATGCTTATGATGAATTTTGTAACAAATTCATCCACTATTAAAATAAAAATGCTCAACTGGCCACCACCTAAAATTACCCCTGCCCCCTCCTTCACTCATACTATCAGTCATAGACACAACACAATTTGGGGACTCTGAGCCCTCCTTGACACTCACTGTCTCTCCCAGGACTGACAGATACTCTGCCCAGCACAATGGCTGAAACACAGCAGGCACTTGATAAAGAAGTGCAGCTTATCAAGAGCTATTCTAAGCTATTCAGATGCATCAGAGGAGGAAGAGGAGGAGCCACCCAGGCAGACCTCACACCTGTGCAGGTTGAGTGGGACTCACTGCCTTCACCTGACATGGGGCTGCTGACGAGGGCCTGAATTACCTGACCTTTGTAACACCCCTATTCAGTTAAGTACAACGACTATCCCCATTTTTGAGATGAGAAAACTGAGCCACGGAGGGGTGAAGCTACTTGCTCAGGGTCACACAGCTGGAAGAGGCTGAGCTGAGTATCAAACCCAGGCCATCCGGCCCCACTCCTAACCACCTCACTGTTGAACTCTGTCTACAACAGTGCATAAGTAACGATGCCCACCCCTCACCTGTGCAGACCAGCTCGCCAATGAGCTCCTCCTTCATGCGGATGTTGATAGCCAGCTCCCGGATCTTCTGCTGGGCCTGGGCCAGCCGCCACTCCGAGGCCATGGCAGAGGGGACCTGGCAGGCCTGAACCCGGGCCTTGCTCCCAACTGCTGCAACAGGCAGCCTGTGAAGGTCGCTGCCCCAACTGACAGTGGGGGAGACAGAGGAGTGGAGGGCAGGGGCTGCCAGGGATGGTGGGCAGACTGTCCCGGGGTGGCCAGCCCAGGACCGTGGTGGGGGAAGGAGAGGAGGCCCTCTCTGAACCCCACCCAGCTTACCTCTGGACCCTGGGATGGCTGCCTCCAACTCTTCAAGGCAGAGCTCTGGGGCCCTCCTGTCTGATGGACTCCCTGGCTGGGCCCCCGCCCTCTGGATGCAGTTACTGATCCCATTTCTGCAGGATGGAAGCAGGAGGCCATGCTCCTCCCCAGCCCCTGCCCTAGCCCAGCCACCCACAGGCCTGGAGGGAGGAAGAGAAGCCACTGGGTCTCCATCTCCCAGGGTTGACAATCCGAGGCTGTGAGTCTGGCCGAATCAGGAGATCAAGGGCAGAGTTTTTGGAGGTGCAGGGCAGCTGGAGGCACAGAGGGCCACCCTGGAGACAGGTCAGGAGGCCTGGGCCCACCCTGTATCACACTCACTCCAGTAAGACCTTCTGGCTCAGAGCGCACAGCTCTACCCCAAGGGCTGGCTAGAGCAACATGAGGGCACTCTGGGACCCAGAGATTTCCCCACTGCTGTCAGGAGAGGAGACGGTGGGATCCCCAGCCTGCCCAACCCTGGCCCTGAGCAGGCCCTTGTCAGGTGAAGGTAGTGGGTCCCACTCACCTGCGCAGGTGTAAGGTCCGCCTGGGCGAATCCTCCTTCTCCTCCTCTGATGCAGCTGAAGAGCCACTTCCCAGCCTGTTCACATCAGCCAGCAGCTCAGCTCCAGCCTCCCTGCCATCTGTCACCTGCTAGGGGAGTGAGCCATTTTCCATCCCAAGTCTTCCCTGCGGCACACCCCGCCCTGCCTGCCCTCCTCATGTCTCTGCCTCCTCAAGTCCTGCCTTACCTTCATGATCCAGCTCAAATACACCTCTAGAAGGCTTTTCAATCTCCAGCTGTGGTGAGAGCTTCCTTCCCTCCTCTCCCCTCCCGCCTGCTTTGGCTCCCATGATACCTAGTACTGCTCAGGTGACAATCTGCCCTTTCTACCTTGTGTACAGGTCATCTGCACCCAAGTCCTATCTCACCAACAATTCCCCGCCAGAGTGATAGGTGAACATGAGACTTCTGCCAACCCCCAGCTTTGAGAGCCGAGATGACCCAGGCCTAAAAGTCCAGAGGACCCAGAACTTCCAGGCAGAGGAGGAGTAACCTTTGTCCAAACAAGGTTCCCCACGGGGAAAAGTGAACTTGCAAAGAGAGCCATCCAAAGACAGAGGGTGGTCTGAGAGGTGATGAGCTCTCAGTCTGCAGAAGTGTGCAAGGTTTCCACCTGGCGCCAGAAGCTGGAACGCCCTCTATAATCTCCCCATTCCAAGCAATCTCCAGTTATCCCGGGAAGGCCCCATGGCACTGGACCCTTCTGAGAGGCCCCACAGAGTCATTCAAATCTTGGCTCTTCCTCTAAGGACACCTGAAGGCAGACTCCCGCATCTCACAGCCAGTCCCATGAAAGCATGAGTGGGGGACGCACACCCCAGCACCCCTTTGCCCCTCCCGGAGCCTGCCCAATCCAGCAGGCCGTCAGACACCCAGCCTCGCCCTCTCCTCACCTCTCTCCTGTGCTCAGAGCCAACTTCATCTCCACAGAGGCAGTCAGGGGGCACCATGCCCAGCACATGGCTGTGGGCGCCCCCCAGGGGAGCTGTATGAGGCCGAGGCAGAAAGGACCCGGAAGGCAGGCCCGGCAGCAGCCCAGGGGCCCCCCAGCCAGGCCGCACCAGCTCTAACCGCAGCCGCAGCTCCACCATCTCCTCCTGCTGCTCACGCAGCCGGTCGCTCTGCAAGACATGGTCCAGGTGCAGAGGAGGCAGGAATGCCCTGACACGCAGGAGTATAGGAAACTGAGGAACAAGTCTGAGGCCACCCCACCGTCTCTGGGCTAAAACTGAGGAGGATCAAATACTCCTGACCACCTCTCATTCCTCTCCTCTTCCCGCCACCCCAACAACTCTGTAAGATACCAGACTCAAATTCACCCCATCACACGCCTGCCCCGCCAGCCCACCACCTCCAATTGCCGCCACCTGAGGGCGCCAAGAGCAATGCTGAGCTGGTTCCCCGGGCCCCAAGGTCCCATGTGCTGCCCTCCAGTCCCCTCCCGTCCAAGCTCACACCCAGCAAAGCTGCCCTGCTGGCGGTCCTGAACCCCCGCCCCCCCGTACTGTTCTGAAGATCACCTCCACACTTCCGCTCATGTGCGCCTTCTGTCTCTACACCCCTCCCACCCTGAGAAACTCAGCTCTGGCTTCCCTCCACCCTCCTCCGGGAAGCCTTCCCTGCACTGCGAATTGGGAGCCGCACCTGCAGCTTGTACTGCTCCATGGCGTCCTCCAGTGCAGCCAGAAAGTCTCGGTTCTCCTCTTCCAGCCGCGCCACCTGGTTCTGCAGGGTCAGCAGCTGCGGCACCCCCTCATCCTCCTACAGGGCGGGGAGAGAGGATTCAGGGGCGGGGTTGACAGGGGGAGCTGGACACCTGGCCTCTTCTCCTCTAGCCCTGCTTGTTACCTGCTCTTCCAGGCCCTGCCTGCAATGGGAGCTCCAGACCTACTGGAGGGGAGCATACCCCAGACCCCAGCGGGCCTGGGTGCCCTCTGCAAGCCATTTGGGTCATCTCTTGTAATTATCTATCGTGTTTGAATTAATAATATCGCCCCTATTACTAGGAACAATTCACTGCGTCTTCACCAGCATGCTAGGTGCATGTTTTCCCTCAACCCTACAACCTCCCCACCAAGAGATGGGTGAGACCTCCGGTCATCCCTATTTTACAGCTGGAGACCTGGGGCTGGTGAGGTTCAGGTGGTGACCACGGTCATCAGCAGAAGTGACTGAATCCTGAACTGACCTGCTGACGCGCGGGAGGCAGGGGCACGGCGGCCATGTTTAGACCTTCTTCCCTCCTCCCCACTCCTCCCCATGGCCCACAACCATAACCCGTCCCTTGCTCACCTTTCGCCCGCCGGCCCTCTGCGCCGCCTGGTCCTCGACGGAGGCGCTGTCGATGCCGCTGTCGGGCCCGGAGGCGGAGCTCACGTTGCTGCGCTCGCCCTCCACCGCGCACAGCCAGTCGCGCACCTTGCGGGCCGCAGCACCTGGCAGCCCGGGCTGGGCGTGCAGCTCGCGCAGGAGGCTGTAGGCGGCGTCGGTGCAGGCCCGGTAGCGCGCGCACTCGGCGCCCAGGCGCAGGGCGGCCGCGGCGGAGGAGGAGGAGGCGGAGGCGGAGGCGGAGGCGGCGGGGCCCGGGGCGCGCCGGCCGCGGTGGATGATGCGGGTCTCGGAGCGATGCCGCGGCGGCCCCCGCGCACCACTCGCCGCGTCCTCGGACGGCCGCTCGGCCTCGGGCCGCCAGTTGACGGTGGCGCGGTTGCGGATGTTCTGCGCGCGGCTGGCGTAGTTGAGGGTGTTGAGGGTCTCGTCGAAGTCGGAGGAGGAAGGGCTGACGCAGGCGATCATCACCGTCTTGGCGTTCCCGCCCAGGGAGTCCTTGAGGATCCTGAGGGCGAGCGGAGGCGCTCAGGGGCCGGCGCAACACATCCCGGAGGGGCTCACTGGGGCGCCTGGGCCACCACCCCCACGGGCGCATGGCACCCCCGCGTCCCGGACCACAGGGCACACAGGAGACAGGGGAGGCTCACCGGGTGATCTTGGAGTCGCGGTAGGGGATGTGGCTACCCCGGCGCTGGGGGTCCCCCAGGGCGCTGATGACATTGCCCAGCGCCAGGAGGCTGCTGTTGATCTGGATGCTCTCCTTGAGGCGCTCGCCGGTGCTGCCAGTCTTGAGCACCCTCTCCGAGCCCGCCAGGTCCACAAAATGGAACTTGGAGACAAGCAGCTGGCCGGCGGCGGGGTGGGGCAGGCGACTGGGGGTGCGCCCTCGCTGCTCCAGAGTGACGGTGAAGACAGTGTGCGAGCGGCTGGACAGCCGGTTGAGGTGTGTCGCCCCCGTATGCCGCGCCGCGTTGCCCATCTCCAGGAGGCTCAGCACCTCGTCCAGGCCCTCCACGTCAACCTCCTTCACCCCACACAGCACTGCGGGCACAGAAGGCTGTGAGCCCCAGGGCAGGGGCCGCCCGACTGACCGGCCAGGGGGGCAGGCAGTGCAGAACCGCCTCCCGACCTGCGCTTCCTGGCCTATAGCCCCCTCCCCAGACCCAGGGGATCCTGCCCGTCCTAGTTCCCTAGTTCGGGCTTCAGGGGTTCCGGCTTCCCAGTGGCCCACCTCAGTGCCTCTTGCTCTGGGTATAGGAGCATTTACTGAACTCAGTGGAGACAGGAAGCTAAAGCGAAACCTCCCAGGGCTTGGGTTTTCCATGAGGAGGCGCCATTCCCAGACAGGTAAGCGTCCCACTCCAAGCATGTGATGTCTCCCTAAGCCCCTCTCTGCTGTGGAGGCCCCGGAGTTCCTCACCAACATTCCCACGCTCATCTTCCCGGAGCTGGATGTCACGGCTGGCGGTGCCCACCTCAAGCAGGTCTCGGAACTCCTCCTTGTACACTTCCAGGTAGGACACATGCACTAGACAGTCAAGCAGGTCGTTCTCATCGATGAGCTTGAAGGCCTCGGCCATGGCCCTCGGGACAATGCCCTGCTCATCCTCGAGCAGGGAGGCTGGGGAGACACCGTGGGGCTTCCTGCCACTTCAGCTGGACATGGCCCAAGGCCCCCAGGTCCACAAGCTCATAGGCCCCTGCCAGAGCTAGAGGATGAGGCTCTAGGCAGTGGCAGAGGCCAGGATGGGACAGGCAGCCTGAGCCAGGCCATGCTCCAGGTGGTCAGGCAGAATTATAAAATTTAAGAGTTGGAAGCAACCTCTCCTGGTTCAATCAACCCCTTTCATGATGTAAGCATCCCCTTCACTGCATCCTCAACAGATTATCAGATAACCTTGCCTTGATTGCTCCCTGGGACAGGGAGTTCATTACCCTAATCCATGCTCAGTTATCTAAAGGCCTCCTAAATTTATCCCAAGGAAATAATCAGAGGAAGTTCAGAGCAGCACTCTTCCTCATAACTTCAAAAAATGCAAACATCTTAAGGCTCCATCTGAAGATCCAACAGGAGATCTGGCTAAATCAACTATTTCCCATTCACTATGGAACGCCAGGCAGCCATTAAAAAGTTGTGTTTTTGTTTTTAGAGACAGGGTCTTGCTGTGTTACCCAGGCTGGTTCCCCAACTCCTGTGCCCAAGTGATCCTCCCACCTCGGCCTCCCAAACTGCTAGGATTACAAGTGTGAGCCTCTGTGCCTAGCCTAAAAAGTTAGATAGAAGAATATTTAATGATACAGAGAAATGTTCATGATACGTTTTTTATTGTTGTTGTGTTTTTGAGATGAGTCTCACTCTGTCGCCCAGGCTGGAGTGCAGTGGCACAATCTTGGCTCACGCCAACCTCTGCCTCCAGGGTTCAAGCAATTCTCCTGGCTCAGCCTCCTGAGTAGCTGGCATTACACACCCCCACCACCATGCCTGGCCAGTTTTTGTATTTTTAGTAGAGACAGGGTTTTGCCAAGCTGGCTAGGCTGGTCTCAAACCCATGACCTCAGGCGATCTACCTGCCTCCACCTCCCAAAGTGCTGGGATTACAGGCATTAGCCACTGTGCCCAGCCAATGATACATTGTTAAGAAAATCAAGACACAAAAGAATGTGTATAATATAATCCCATTTTTGAAAAGTAAAATAATTTTCCCAGTGAAAGAAACTAGAACGCTAACAGGGCAGGGGACTTCTGAAGGGCAATTATCAAGTACATTTTATTTCGGGCATATGTTTTGCTGTATTTTCCTAATTTTTTACAACAAAGTATGTTTCTGTAACTGCTATGTGAATGTTTACGCTCCCCAAAATTCACATGTTGAAATCCTCACCCCCAATATGATGGAAGTGTGGGTGGAGCCCTCATGAATGGGATTAGTTCCCTTACAAAAGAGACCTGAGAGAGACCCCCTCTGTGTTCTACCATGTAAGTTCAGAAAAGGAGGCTGTCTACGAGGAAGAAGGCCCTTTGATCTGCTGGTGCCTGCATTTTAAACTTCCCAACCTCCAGAACTGTAAGGAATCCATTTCTGGGAACAAGCCACCCAGTCTATGGTATTCTGTTCTAGTGCACGGAGCACAAGGCAGTAACCTGAGAGAAAGCAGCTTGTGTTACTTAAAAGGAGACCCTTCAGTTAGCCCAAAGGATCTTTCTCGAAACTGCTCCAGAGCCTGGCTGGCAGCCTCGCAGCAGCCAAGCACAGCTCTTCCAGGACACACGGGCCCATTCCCAATGGCTCCAACTAGAACACAGATTCCTGACCTTCCCTAGCCATCCTAGCCACCTCCACAGACACGCCACCTTCCCATGCCCTTCCTCTGCTAAGGTCCCCAGAGCCAGGCAGCATGCCCCATCTCTATGGAGATGAGAAGGCCACTCGCATCCAACAACCCTCCCTTCCTACCCTGCCCTGCCCAGCCCACAGATGTGACTGGTCCCAGCCTGGGTGGCAGATCTGTGTCTCGGGACTCTACTGTCCCTCTTCCAACATCCCCTCCTTCCACAGGGTCAGGCAGCAAGAGGACAGGGAAAGAAATCCAGGAAGGAATGAAGGCTCCTGAAAGTGCGCACGGGGCCACGAGCCGGGTCACTTACCCACACTGGCTTCCCCCATGGTGTATGTCTTCCCAGAGCCCGTCTGACCATAGGCAAAGACGGTGGCATTGAAGCCCTCAAAGAAGGCCTCAAGGAGGGGCTGGACACAGGCTTGGTACACGGCCTCCTGCCCGGCATCCTCGGCCAGCACCACGTGGAAGCCGAAGTGTCGGTCCCGGCCCAGGGTGACACGGCCGAGCCTCGGCTCCACCTGCAGGCAGCTCTGATGCCCGTACAGCAGCTCCTTGGGAAGCAGGGGTCGAACTCGCAGGGCAACCCGCACCGGGGCCTCTTCAGTCGCTGGCAGCCTCTGGGCTTCCAGCCCCATGTTGAGGGAGGACGGCTCTGGGCCCTGTGGAGAGAGAGAAGCTGTGGCCATCAGCATGTGTGTTCCAGGAGCTGGACTCACCCTGCAGGGCACTTGAGTCAGACCCTGAAGGGATGGGGGAAGGGTGGTCAAAGTTCAGAACATTCCCATGCCCATCCTGGTGCTCAAAAGCTGCCAGGGCCATGACACATACGGTACCCCAAATAACATGTCATGGCTCCCAGCACTGGGATGATGAGGCCCTAACTCCTGCGCTTGGTACCCAGGGGCTTCAGTGTTCCAGCTACACTCTTCCCTGTGACCCTGACTCCTAGAACACACACGCACAGTGCCACACCACACCAGGGAACCCTTGTCCCTTACACCTGCTGGGTTCACCACAGTCTCTATCTTTGTCATGTCACCCATATCCCCTGCCCCACCTTCAAAAAAGCCAACAGAAGGCTGGGCGCGGTGGCTCAAGCCTGTAATCCCAGCACTTTGGGAGGCCGAGGCGGGTGGATCACGAGGTCAAGAGATCGAGGCCATCCCGGTCAACATGGTGAAACCCCGTCTCTACTAAAACTACAAAACATTAGCTGGGCATGGTGGTGCGTGCCTGTAATCCCAGCTACTCAGGAGGTTGAGGCAGGAGAATTGCCTGAACCCAGGAGGCGGAGGCTGCGGTGAGCCGAGATCGCGCCATTACACTCCAGCCTGGGTAACAAGAGCGAAATTCCGTCTCAAAAAAAAAAAAAAAAGCCAACAGATCCTTCAAGACCAAGCTGTCACCACCAAATCCTGCCAGTTCCATCCTAAATATCTCTCACGTTCACCTGCTGCTTCCCATTCTGTAGCCAAACTCCTGGTCCTGGCCGTGGACACCGTGCCAGGATGACTGACCAGCCTTCCCCCTCGTCTCAGTCTCCCTGTCCCCTCCCACAGGGCAGCCAGGGGCATCCTTTTCTTCTTGAAACAGGGTCTCTCTGTTACCCAGGCTGCAGTGCAGTGGCGTGATCACTGCTCATTGCAGCCTCAACCTCCCAGGTTCAAGTGATCCTCCCACCTCAGCCTTCAGAGTAGCTGGGACCACAGACACGTACCTGGCTAATTTATTATTATTTTGTAGAGACAGTCTAGCTAGGTTGCCCAGGCTGGTCTTGAAGTCCTGGGCTCAAGGGATCCTCCCAAAGTTTGGTGATTACAGGCATCGGCCACTGCACTCCAGGGGCATCTCTCAAAATGCAAACGCAAAAATCAGGCCCTGCCGCCCGGGACTACTCACCTCCCGGCACCTCCCACACCCCAGGTCTTTCCCCCGCCACCCTAACCCTAACCCTAACCCTCTCTCTGCCTGCAAAGGCTGGGTGTTTTCCAGGCCTCATCCGTCGCGGCTCAGGCTGCAGCCACCCTCTTCAGGGAACCAGGGAAGCCCTCCTGCTCTGTGACCCCACCACCACAGGCACACAACCCCCAGTGCTGCCCCACCGGCCGGAGAACACTCTAGTGCAACTGCAGTCACTACGCGCCTCTCCCCCACCTCCCAGACCAGGAGCTGGAAGGCAGAGACCCTCTGGGTTCACTTTGCACTTTGTCACCAGCGCCCAGCACAAGGTCCCACGCTGCCCAATAAATAGTGATGGATAGCCTGGCACGGTGGCTCACGCCTGAAATCCCAGCACTTTGGGAGGCCGAGGCAAGCAGATCACGAGGTCAGGAGTTCAAGACCAACCTGGCCAACATGGTGAAACCCCCTCTCTATTAAAAATACAAAAATTAGCCGGGCGTGATGGCACACGCCTGTAGTCCCAGCTACTCAGGAGGCTGACCTAGGAGAATCGCTTGAACCCGGGAGGCGGAGGTTGCAGTGAGCCAAGATCGCGCCACAGAAAACCAAAAGAAAAAAAAAAAGGAGTCTCCGTCTAAAAAAAAAAAAAAAAAAAAAAAAAAAGTGATGGATAATCTTCCTCTAAGGCACTTTCCCCGTCCTCCCTCCTCCCACCGCCACCGGCACTTCACTCTTTACCTGGTAGTCTCTCTCAACACAGGAACCTTTCGTTTAATTCAGTCACCAGCCCCTTCTGGGCGCCCGACGCTGAGCGCATCGCAGTAAACGGCCTGGCGCCCCGGCGGGGGCCTCTGTGCGCCCCGGCCTCGCCCGAGCGTCCCGAGCTCTGTGCGGTCCTGACTTCCGCGCCCCAGCCCTCCACCCGGCTCCCGCCCGGAAGACCCCGGACAACCCCGCAGGCGCGATCCCGGGCCCGGGCAGGGCCGGGGCTGGAGGCGGCGGGCGCGGGACGGAGCTCCCGGAAAGTTGGAAGAAGTGACTACAACCTCGCAGCCCCGGCGCTCGTCCCTCCTCGCAGGCCGGGAATGCCGGCCTCGGCCCCCCTGCCGGGAAGAGGGCGCCGGCCCGTCAGAGGAAGCGCCGGGGGAGGCTGGGAGCAAGGCTGCGGGCTCCTCGGGCCGGGCCAGGGCGCCCGGGTCCAGGCCTCCGCGGGGAGGGAGCGCGCGCCCGCACACACCCGGATCCTCGCTCGCCACCCGCCCCCGGGCCCACACCCACCTGCCTAACCGCGAGCGAGTTGCTCCCGGGCCGCGCAGGCCGTCTCCAGCCCCAGCGCCGCGCGCTCCGATGCCGTCATGGGACCCCCGCCCCCAGAACCCGCCTCACCCGCAACTCCGCCCGCCCGGGCGCTGGGGGGCGCTGGGGGGCGCAGGCGCCAGCCGGGCGGCGCGGCGGAGTCGGTCCGCAGACAGCGCGGCGGGGCCCTGTGAAGGGACCGGGCCTGCAGAGCGCGCGGCGTCCTCACGACGGCATCGCCTTATTTTCTCGAATTTGCCTCCAAACCGGACTCAGACCACCCTGTCCTCGGCCCGAGTCACCTTCCTCACCGTCTCCGTTTTCCCTTCCCAGCCCCAAAACACGCCCCCTGCACGCCACACACGAAGCTGGCAGAAACGTTCCTCTGCCCGCTTTCAGAAAGTTTTCTCAGCTCTGACTCTCACTTTCTCACACTGTAGCATGTCTAAAATTGAGCTCCATCTTACACACTTTGTCAAGGGAAACTCGGGGCAGTGGGGCAGGAGAGGTGACCTGGGGTGCCCATGCCAGCCTCAAGGAGATGGTTGGTGTCCTCACCTCTGAGGCTTGATGCATTGTTTGCAGTAGAAGTGCCGCGAATGAATGAATTTTTTTTTTTTTTTT